CATGTCCTGGTGACAATTCTAGTAGTAAGAGGCATCGGCATCGACGGTAGGTGCAAAGGGACCGGAGTCAGTGAGGCCTTGGTGGAGGGATTTTCTGCTGTGAGGGATTTGTTTTATTGGAATTACAGGATGGTATTAGTACCGTATTTGATATTTTTATTTGTTTTATTTTGTGATGATTGCGGCCTATAACTGCCTGCCCCTCACTTGGCGGGACCAAGGACTTCGGTCGCTCTGTTCCTGTCGGGTTGGGTGTCGGTTTGTCAGTTGTAGCGGGTGTGATCAGGACTGGTGATGGACTTGCACCAGGCTTTTGTGTTTGCTCACGCACGGAGGTGTTACTGGTTTGGCTTTGCAGGTTCTTGGTCTTGTTTATAGTCGTTGGCTGCGCTGGTGTATTGTGGGGACTCCAGCCCCAGGCTGTTCGTTTCGAGTGCAGTTCCAGTCTGCTTGTCCTCTGCCGAAGGCCCGCCTGCCTTTATTGTAGGTGTATGATAGGATGATCGCTCCGTCATAAGCCATGTTGTAGCACGACGAGTATAAATAAAATTAGATTGAATATAGATACCTGTACCTGGGAATTACAATCTCTTCCACTTTGTGTCCACCTGAACCTCTGAACCCTGACCTGAACCCCTGAGTCCCTGACCTCGTACAACTCCCTTCGGTTGTACCCGCGTATCTAGACCTAGTCTCCGACTTCCGGCCTGCCCAGTTCATGGTATCCCTTGGGCTACCCGACCCTCAGACCCTGTCCGTTACACTGTGCTCTTCATGTCCTCTTTTATTTACCCTAGACTTCACGCCCTATGATAGTTGGAGACATTGGGGTTTGATCATGGACATTAGATAGAACATTGGCCAAGTAGCTTTTTCGTGTTCAAACCCTCTAGATCAATATGGCGTGATACTTGATGAATCTGGATATACCCCTAGCTCTAGGGTATAAGACCTGCCAAATCCTAACGAATATAAGAAACCTACCACATTTCCAGATTTTATCGCGGATATAGTATTTACCCTTCTTAACCCCTGCTTTCTCTCTCTCTTATCTGTATAACTTTTCCATCATGCCAGTGCAGCAATGATCCCGCCAGGACAGTCAACCGACCCCCCGTGTTAGTAATGTGTGTGGACGTGACCCCAAGGTCGGACATGGCCCCATGGAACCTGGGGGAACGGGATCCAAATCTCAACAAAACAATTCGCACAGCTCCTAGAGGGCGCGTACAAATGACTAGGCGTTACCTCTGCCTTCTTCTCCCACGCAAGCAACAAGCCAACTAACGAGACCGCTGAACCACTCACGTAAAAGGACGATGCAGGCAGCTGTGCGTGCCGACCCCGAAACTCACGCCAAAGACCAAGTGTATGTGGAAGCTGTACATGTATTAGGGGATTACATCCCTGAGTACTAAATCTCTCCGGGCTCTTCTGAATCAGAATCAGAAACCCTACCCGGATGCGGAAGACCTTGATCTCAGTGATCCAGGAGACCCACCATGCCGTCACAGGCTACAGGCAGCGAACTGAGAGGATACCAAGCGTGGGAAAACAGCTGGGATTTCGACTACTATCGGATCACAGCGATCTGGCCCTTCTCTGCTGATGCCTGCTGTCCCTGCCCCCATCATTCGCGGTAGAACCTCGACTGCGGGTATTCCATCGTCAAGCCCCGCAAGGAATTCGTCTCTACCGAGTTGCTCAAGTATGCTTTCCTCCAATATCAGAAGCTCTAGCCCCACAGATCTTCCAGATGTAGCCCGATGTGGCTTTAACTAGCATGGAAGTAGCAGCTACAAGAATAACGTTACAGGACCTAAAAGTTCTATATTACGGCTGGGCAGGGATCTGATTCTCCAATATACTCTTTTTAATGACCCACTACCTAACATAGTTGTTCTGATGGCCAAAGTGTACAGCGTTTAGGAGGATGCTTTGAATATGAGTACGGGTTGCAGATATATTGAACCATCCTAGGATAGCATAACAATAGTAAGTGATCCCAGCCAGACGTCTAGACACATGGCAAATTATAATAACCTTGACAGATACGCCAAAAGCACTCGGGAGTACGGTCACAATTCATTTATTATGTGAAACATCATAGTAGTAAGGTTATATGAACTGCCACTGCCACAAGGTGCAGCAGCCATCGCACGTAGAGTTGATTGTCTTCGGCAAGGAGATCGGTTCAGATGGGACCCGAAAGGGTATGAGGTTAGTTACCATGACGACTAGCAATGGCTATTGGGTAATACGACTCACTATGTCTGAATTTGGACAGACTCTGATCCTGCGATTCTGTGCACCCCAGATCCCTGAGGCCATATATGGCAAGTACTTTGCCGGAAAGAAAATGCAAGGTAGGATAGATCCTGAGTTCCTATCTCCCATTAATGGAACTGTGATCTGCCTGACTTGCACTATACTATGCCACACTCTCTGGACGTGGCAAATGGGTAAGTACAAAGAGCCAAAGGACTTCAAGTCTGATATTGTTATGGGTAAGAATCTCAGAATATTCTAGTGGGCCGTAGTGAAGGAGTCTGGCTAACCTGTCACCCACTTAAGACCTCTTAGCATGCCAGAGGCAAACATGGCAGAGATTTCCCGTGCAGATCCAGGAGCTGTTGGTCCAAAACATCAGCCAGATCATCAGCGAAGAGCTCCAGCAACAATACGGGATTCAGAATGAGCGAGTAAAAGGGTATGATGATAACGTTGACGCTGTAAGCACGAAGGGCAAGCGCAGGAAATCCAACCAGGCTCCAACCCAATCCTCGCGGCGTAGACAGACAATAAGTGACTACCCTCTATAGGCCTCTTCGGAGTACCAGGGAAGGCGGGAACAGTCACCGCATCCTGATGTTGCTTCCGATTTTAGCCCGTTGGCTATTGGATGGTCTCCTGGCTTTCACGATTTTGAACAGGGTAGTCTAGACGATACACCAGAATACATGGGACATCTGACGTCAGGGAGCATGGGCCGTCCATGTATTTCATCTCGTGTCTGGCTTAGTCTAGATGATTCACAATCAGGGCAGGTAACAGCTATAGATAGACAGTAGGAAGGGAATTTTGATTGAGAGAGAGGAGGCAACAGGTTGGTGTGACCAGGATCGAGAGTGGGCTCAACGTGGCACATATGGATACCGGCGGTGTTGGTAGGATCACAAGCTTCAATAGACCCTAGTGTACACAATAGATTAAAATAGCGTGCCAATGTGACGCGGTATGATAGTAAGTAGAGTGTTTGCAGCACATAGCGAGACCAAATTGTAATCGGACGTGGTTACCGAAAGCCCCAGAACAGATGGAGTAAGTTCCCATTATGGCTAGAAAATCCCAACAACATCAATTGAAAGTGTGAAATCGGGATGGGACAGGTGGATAATGTAGGACTCGGGGCACATGGGAGTAGTTCTTCGAAGTCACAAGACACAAGAGCAGGGACAGGCACTTAGGAGAAGGATAGGGGACGAGACATGCGGTGGAAGGCAAGCGATATAGATTAAGTCCTCCAAACAGAACTGGCTTTACATGGACAGGATTGGAACGGGGGGGGAGGGTTGATGGGTGTCACGGGGAGAGGCAGAAGCAGCAGAGATTCTCCCGACGTAAAGCAGGCATGCCTGGATGGCCGAAACGCCGGGTGGGACTTGCAGGGGTATCAGGACGGCGGGCAGGAGGTCCCGAGGTGTCTGGACGCCGGCCAGGAGTAGTAAGGGCATGAGGACGCCAGGCAGGAGTAGTAGAGGCGTCGGGACACTAGGGGGAAAAAGGGCATCGATCACCAGGACACCCGGAACAGAGCTAGCAAGGGTCACAATTCAGGGAGGTTGGAGTGCCTTTCATCTGGTGAGCGTCAGGATGCCAGAGGGTGCGGATGCGAATGTCAGGACGCAAGAACAGATTCCACCCACATCCTGATTAACGGTTTGTATCCTGTGTGTCCTATGCGTCAAACCCACCGCACTCACACGACGCAAGAGTATATTTTTGCTGATGTACTCCCTTCCAATTTCCCCCCACCTACCTTGGGGGCTTCGGGCTACTATCCTTCCCGATCATGACGCCCCCGGCTCCCTCTGCTACCTACTCCGTAATTTTTTCAAACCTCTTCCAGTTTCCACACACCTCCCTCCCCTACCTCACTCCCCAACTTTCCTGCAGGCTTCTTATTCTCTACCACCTTCCTCACCACATTCATTACTATCCTTTTGTTTCCCACCAAGCCATGCTACCTACTACCTTACTCACCTGCTTTTCTACTACTATTATCTTTTCTTCCACATTCTTTTCTTTTCTGCTTTCATACTGTCTTACAATTTTCCACTTCCTCCCTTACCAGGATTCATACCTACTAGTACCACCTTTCTTTCTGCTTTCCTTTCCAAATTTCTCACCACTGGCACCTCTTTCATGAACTCTCCTATTACCAATCTCCTTTCCTTTTCTATGGTCTCTAGTATCAGCTTTGTCGCTACCTCTCTTCCTAGGTTTTCTTGTGTATCCTGCACTGGCTTTCCTCCCCCATTCCCTACTAGCTTTCTTATCCTCTTTGTTACCATCTTCCCATCTGCCTCTCTTACAACCTTTCCTACTACCTCTCTTTCTGGTTTTCTAACTCCCTCATATGAGAGTTGTTCTACTTGCCTTCTCCCTTGTTTGGTCATTACTGCTCTTACCAGTGTTTTTCACATACTTTGCTTCGTAACTTTTTTATACTGCTCCTCCCAACCCTCTCCCCTACTCTGTTCCCCCGCTTTTCTACTGCTCTCCTATTTAGTACCACATCGCCTGTCTATCCTGCACGCTCGTCTTTCTACCATCTGGCAATTTTCTACCACTTCTCTTTCTAGCTATCTCTTATCGGCCACTTTGTTACTCTATTTTTTCTCTATAAATACTATTACCATCTTCCTTACAGTATACTATTTTTAGACCATTTTCCTTGCCAGGCTTTTCAATCATCTTCTAGTGTACCACCACCTCCTGGACCACCTGCTAACCCACCTTTCTCCCTCCCTCCTCTCTCATGTTTCTTACTACCTCCCTTACCAACCTTCCTACCATCTATCACCTTTTCTCTCATGCTTTATCTACTACCAAGCTTGTTACTACTACCTCCCTTGCTAGTTTATCTGGTCTCTCGTATACTTGCTTTCATATTAGCACTGCCTCACTTGTCAGCTTTTCCTTCTTTTTGTTCTCCTACTATTCTACTGTCTCCAGTACCTCCTCTCCTACCACCCCCAGACTTTCTTCACCCTTCCTTATGTCTTGTCCTTCTTTTCTACTTTATCCACCATCATTGTTCCCTTCTGTTTCTTCTGTCCAGCCTGCTCTCTTGCTACCTGGTCTAATTCCTTACTTGTTTAGTTTTCTTCCACCCAACTTATCAGCTTTCCCAGCGACATTCCATACTTACCACCTCACCACAGTAGCTACTGCGTATATACCGAACTTAAATTCAATATTTAGAATTACTTGTGATACATATACAATGTTTATGTGAAATTGGTTAATATTCTATCACACAAGTTTCAAATGCTGGGATATAGTCAGACACAATAAGATTGATGAAATATCGAGATAAGATTATCAAGGTACTAAAGTACTATTTTTGTAACATTGTGAGAGAGCTGGTTGAGGATATTGGCTAATATATTAAAGAACCAAGGAGGATGAAAAATAGATAAAAATTGATTGATTCTAGGGAAAAATAGAGATAAACAATATAGCAACTGAGAAAAGAAAGAATAAGAACAATTTATATATATAGAGATACAGAAAAGTCTAATCTGACTTCCTACCAACCACTACCACGTACTTGACACTATTGCCTATAGGATAGAGTAACGACCCTATGTTATAGAGCTATGGCAACTTAAGTTTATTCCAATACATGAGACCAAGAGGTCACATAGTACTCCAGAAGGGCATGTAGGATCATGTCCAAGGGGTATCCAATGGTTCGGGTATCCCAAAGAACAAGAGGTGCTTTCGGAATAGGTGTACCCAAGTAGTGGAAGTAATATGACTATGTCTGCTCCAGCCTACCCTATCTTTCGTTGAAAATATTCTCGGACTAGTTCTAGGTGATACGAGAAGTGTTTGTTACACAATAACAAGAAATACACACTGGCTGCGACAATGATCAGAAGCCTTCGAAAGGAGCCACAGTAGTCCGAACATGGGGTAACTTGACAGAATTATTCCTTAGAGGTATCATACATGTAACCCCATGGTTCGCCCCACATGTCAGCGGCTAAAATAGGTGGAGTTGTAATCTTACTAGTTAAATGGAGTCCAGAAAGACATGTCCAAAACCCTGTATAGGTGACTGCCATCCATCTGAGCGGAAGTCGTTCGCAGGATACATAGCAGGATATATAAATAGACAAAGGACCTGAGATCAGGTATCTTCTCCAAAAAAATAACTGTGTAATATGTAGCAAAACTGACAGAATTAGCATGAGCTATCTAACAGGGGCTCCAGAGTGGTCCTGGGTAGTGCCGGAGACATGTGAGAAGGTTTTACACTAATCAAGCCTACGCATGCCCGTTTCCTGTAGTCTATTAGTGGGTTCTCATTGTGGACTCTAATAGCACGATACTTCTCATAGTGAGTAGTGTGTTGTGGGTAAGAGACCATGAGTAGTGCCCACTGGTCTGGCCGCCGTCACTAGTTGGTCTTCGGGGAAGCGTCGTAGACCTTCTAAGTTCACAATCAAGATAGCCAGAACTTAACTGGAAGACTGTGGATGTCTACTGGTGCTTGTATAGGTCATAGCACATGGGAAGAGAGTCATTTAGCTAGCTTTCCTAGGTGTCTCAACAATTAGTCACTGAGCAGACTGCTCTGTGTAAAGGTTTTCACTCTGGCAGGTGTATTGGTAAATACCTCACATGAACTGATGTGTATATGGGAGATTCCTGCTAGAGTGCGCTGACACCTTAGGCCCTTTGGGACATGGTAATGGTGCTGGGTAACCTTTACAGAGAAGGACACACTTGTATTGGTCAGTGTAACCTGATGGGGGAGCTTCTGGTATAAGTCTGACTACTTAAAGATTATATGAGAACTCTCCTACCCCGGCACAATCAATATTCTCTTGAGAGACTTTAATTGAAATACGCCTAAGCTTAATGATATTCAGTTTTACTGGTTACTGTTATTCTTTACATTTTACAAGAACTCTGTTCGAGGGATTCGAAGTTTATAGTGGTCATATTCTGAGGAACCATCTACCCCCGGGAGTCCCCATTACACAATGTATGAATTGTGTTATTTCGAAGCTGACTTTCTTACTCTGAAATGCAATCATAGCTCATCACTCATTTCTGAACCCATATATTACTCCACATGAAGGTTTTACACTATTTCTGTGAGTATTATATTAGCTCATGTAACATATTAACCTACAGTTATATTATTTACTACTAGCTCCTTTCACTAATTATAATCACCAAATTTAATCTAAAATTATGCTACTTCTATAACATTATTCATTATATGAGATAGAGGTAGGTCAAATAATTTACATATTTGTCTTTACTTACAGATATAAAATTATCATAAGTCATTTACTTACAAACAAATAATAAAAAAAAAGGTTACTGGGCATCTACCTGCTTTTTTTTCATATTATTTTCCTACCTACTATTTCTTCAAGTTAGATATATATAACTATCCTTTTACTTACTACTATAGTCCATATACCATGTAAACTGAAATAATCAAACAGGGTATTAGGCAGTCAGATTAAGATAGAATATGCTAAGCATACTAGTCACCAATCACGCAATATTATTTTCTGAGAAATCTTGGTATTTACGCAACAACAATATTTTCATTAGTATCTATTTCCTCTGGTTCATCTATTTCTGATATAAAATCATCGCCAACCCCCCAGGCCTGTCAACATGAGGCACCAAATCTTCTCCAACTCCGTCCCAACTGCCTTCTCAGTCCTCCAAACTATTTACACTATCCCTCAAGGTTTGTTTTCCTACTTCTTGACAGTATGCTAACTGTTGTGCTAAAAAACTAGTTTCTATTCCCATAAGAGAGATTTCAGAGTCAGTACTGCTATCAAGGGGAAGTGCAAGCCCAACATAATGAAAAGAACTACAAAGCACCTCTATCTTTTCATTGGAGCAGCACTTCCAGGCTTCTTGGGTAGCCCATGTTGCTGCAATGTAGAGTTGACAGACTATGCTTCTGGGGGGCTTTCCCCGCCTCTCCAGATTGAATCCTCTACCTCATGAATTGCATCCACTTGCATATCGACCTCTTACTATGATTCAAGATAGTCAGTTAAGACTTCTTTTTTTGCTTCTTATTCTTTTAAAAGGGAATTTTGTTTGCTTATAAATTAACTCTAAGATAGCTTAGAAGACACAATTAATCAATATATCTAGGGGTTAAAAGAGTCTAGTACATGATCCTCCAATGGCACTCAAGGTAAGGGCATTTCCGGAAAGGGTATTGAGGTCCTTCTCTGTTCTAGGAGCCTCCAACAGATCTATGGCAAGGATGAAGGGTTCATTGTCAAGTATAAGTACTACTCCTTACTTATCGAACCACTCCTGCATATCATCTGACTTACTATAGGCTGTTGGGTTGAACTTTACTACAATCAAACAGTCCTGGACCTTCTGCTCTACTTAAAAAGTAGGTCCAACTGCCCTTTCCTGAGAAGATATAAGTAGCAGAACTTATGCAGTGGGATACCGTCCGTGAATATAGCAGGCGAAAATCGTCCCATGATTTCTATCACATCCAGACTTACTACTGGACTGTGCCCAAATAGTATTTCCACTGACAGAATGATATGTTTGTCTTGGAGCATACTCAAAGGGTGATAATGTCAGATCTATATTCTTGATGTTCGGCAACTAGTGCCATCGCAATTGCCGCAGGCACCTCGTCCAAGCCCATTTCCAAATAATATTCTGATTGTTAGTTATGTCGGTTGAACCTCATACACTCTAGATTGTCATTTGTAAAAATATACTGGCAGCTCAGCAGCCGTGCTGGTGATACATTGTAAACTAATTTGATGAGTTTGTCAAAAGCCATAAAACCATCTACTTGAAAGCTGAAAGAGAGAAGAATCTCTTCATGGATAAATGTTGATGAAAAGCTCATTACTAATGCAAAAAAGCCCACTCTGATGAACATGTTCACATAGGTATGGTACTGCACTGCCTTTATAACTTTGTACTAAAATGCAATGTGGTAGAAAGAGTGTACCGCCAGCATGCTAAGCGAGAAGCAGTTCTTGTCCTTAATTATCTTAAGCGAGTTGAGTGGTACCACCTATTTATTCAGGTGCTCATCATTCACATCACTAAGAGAAAATATAAGAGAGCATGTAAGTATAGATGTGTTTGACGTTAACATGAGTTGAAAAAACATTAGTAAGAATATGTTTGACTGTGAAGAACTACTTAGGAAATCCTATAAGATATACGTAAATCTGAGATGGTGTGAGTAGATAATTAGAACATAGTTGTAAATGGAATGACTGATAACCTTGCTGGATGATACATAAAATGTAAGAAAGAAACCTGAATACCAGATAAGAAAAGGAGGCCATAATCTCTTAATCGGATACAGAAATATTACATGATGTATACATGATACAGGCGCTAGCTGCACTAATGTTTGTAGTCTGGAAAGAGTACCAAGTAGAGGTATAATGGGAGCTGGTGCTTGGTTAGATTGTTTTTGCTTTGTTTTAAGTATCAGTTAATACCTATTTTGTTTTATGTTCTGTTTCAAGTATTGGTTGATACTTAGTTTGTTTTACATTTTGTTTCAAGTATTCATCCATACTTAGTTATTTTTGTTGGTTGATTGAGTAGGAACTAACATGAGTGAGAATTCATGATCATACTCAGACACGTGTACTTAAAAAGTGCACTGATTTCTACTAGGGGTATTTAAAGTTGGAAAGCTGATTTTTCAGCAACAATTAACTACTAAAAGGTACATTAAATTACTTTACAGTATTAGCCAATCATATCCATATGTTTCATGTAGTATACTTGAATGTCTCAAGGTAACTGAAAGGTAAATAATAGAAGTTTTCACAGATCTTGCTAGTACCTGAAAACTTTCGGTATTTGTTAACCAAATGCCCAAGTGAAGAGATTTTTGTTAGAGAAAGCAGATGATTATTTTTCAAGTATGCGAAAATATTTTAAGATATTCCTCTGATTTTTTGCAAATTGCTTTTCACATCATCTATTGTATTAAAATTCTTGTAGAGTTCAGTTAATACGAATTTTGGAGCCGATACCGACCTCCTGCCCTCCCTATCTAATCAAGAAAATAAATAGGTATGGTATGGTAAAGTAAAATGAGAGTAAAGTAAGTCTTCTTGCCTCTGCCAAGCTTGCATGAAGCAGCCAAGTAAGGTACTTTTTTTCAAGATTTTCAACTTTGAATACCCCTACTCTGGAAATACCAGACTTCGACAGAGAGTATTCTAATGTCCTTGGCTGAACTGTTTTGTTTATTTTTCTGTTACACTACTAAAGCTACTATTAGCAAGCTTAGAGTCACTAGTCTCTGATATATTATTGTTCTGCTCCTATTTTACTGTACAACGTAATTACACCCCTCATATAAACATATTAGAAGAGGAATATGTGATATTATCAAGAACAATATATATATGAAATGAATTAAAAGATTCAACAGAACTGGGACACATTCTAA